GAATTTATTAATATTTATATTTTAAATTAAAAGTCTTAAATATGTTTTTTGTTTTTATTGTAATTTTTTATAACTGTTTAAAAGTTTATGTTTTCGCCTATAAATGCGGAAAAATCAAGTAGAATAAAAAAAATTGTACAAATCGTTTTACAGAAAGTAATAGAATGTATCTCACATACCGTTGATTTAAATATTCTAAGCAGGATCTCGGTAGAAACAAAATGTGAGCAAAAAAATTACGTGGAATGGTAAAATATAATAAAAAGCGGACTTATAATTCAATGACTAGCAAATTGCGAGTTGATATGATATTACTGTAAAATTATCCGGCACAAACTACTTACAAAGTTCTGCTAATCTAAAAACACCATTCCATTAGTTGAATTAATACAATAAGACCACGCCCAATGGCATTTTAATTGAAGAAATATATAAAAATATATACTAGTATAAAATTAGGAATAATTCGTGCTATATTGTAAGTTATCCTTTCATAATTAAAATTTCCAAAAACGAATCCTTATTTGTAAAACCAGTATTGGTAAACGCTAAATAATGGCTAAGCCCCTGGGTCTGACAATATATATATATTTATTTATATATATTTCAATAAAAATTAATTTTATATAATTCTTAAAGTCATATTTGTCCAATAAGTATTTTCGAAACTGTACTAATACTAAAATATAACAATTAAAAATGATGATTATAAAGAGTGTTAAGCAAAACACACAGTGTTAATCATATTACTTTTTTCTATTTTTAATATATTTTTTTATTAAAAAAACAAATTGAAATTAAATAATAATTAAGACATGTACGCAATTCTGAGGAAGTAAATATTTTATATCATATCGGTATTATGCTAATAAACTTCTGGAAATTTCAAATTTACCATGAGATGTATGAGACACTAGTCTTGTAGGACGACCTAATAACTCCATAAAGCTCTACTAGAATGTTCAAATCCCTGCAATAGAGTGTTTCATATCGCCTACAGGTATATAGTGAACCGATATTTGAATCAAACCCAAATATATATACCACTCTGTCGCCGAACGCACTCCTTTGGCGTTGCCACCCCGGCGAAAACAGTAGAAAGCGTTGCCACTTCGTAAATGCAAAAGAAAAACAATGTTTTTACTCATATATTCTTTATTAGCAAAGTAAAGCAATTACATATTATGGGTATTTAATAGATGAAAGAAAAACAAAACTGGTCCTTTAAGGGGTCTCTAATCACTTCAGATATACCGAATTTGATACATGTACCACATATCTAATATTTTTATAAATTGATATTTCCAATTTAAACAATTGTTGTGAAATAGGTATGGCCTTTTCGGAAAATTTGCATTGTTAATGAATTAAAACAAGTTCAGCAGTAGTTAAAAAAACAAACACTTCATACTTCACCCCCCTCTCCTTCTCTATTCCAAGCGATTTATAGGCATCAAAGTAAAACTTTTATATAAACGTAAAAAATTGGTTTATTATACCAACCGCTTGATTTTTTCCGTGTAGAAATTTATAAATTAGATTTAAGTTGGCTATTAATGGCTATAATAAAATACTTAATCGTTACGTAACTAAAAATAACCATAATTATGTTAACAAATGTGAGATGTTTTCTTTTTTTACTACTACTGAAAGACTTTACAAATGTACTATGTAATAATTACACATATCTATGTATACATCGTTATATTTTAACTTCTCTTCTTGGCAAAAAAAATTCTTTTTAAATGAAGTAAGTCAAGTTCATTGTGAAGTATTTGATTTTCAACACCTACGCACTAGTGTTCTGTAATTGAAAAGTTCAACGAACTTGTTGAACTTTTTAATAAATTTTTATAAATATGGATCCAGAGTTTACTATAATCCTATGCAAGTTATAGTTTATACATACACAAATTCATATACTATATAATATATACCGCTGCAAATTATTTGATCCCTACTGTTGTAAGCAATTAAATGTTATTCTGATATCCGCTTAAGAAGGTATTACAATGTACAATGATTTTGCAACGATATTAATAAAAACTGTGCACTCAAGTGATTGTTTAATATTACATGCCTAAGTAATTCAATTACAGTTTTTCGATTAATCAATTTGAAAACTCTTACCGAGTCTTGCAATTTAAGCTATTTTGGTTTATAACTTAAATTTAAAAAATATTTATATCGAACTAAAGTATGTATATAGTTATAATGTGGTCCTCGACGTACATAAAATAGTTGTAATGATTTTTTGTTTGTGCCATAAATGTTTGGCAACATTGCCTATTGCATTGTATTTGTCGGCTCAACGAGCGAGCTTTGCAGTGTTAACGTGTCCACAATCTGAAGCAATATTTCGACATCCTTGTGTGTATTGATTGTGCTGGGTGCTCCAACCATTTTGACATTTTTGCCCTCGATGTTTGTAAAGAATGTTTTGTTTTTGAATATGACAGCTCTATCGTAAGGAAGTCGCGATTTCGTACGATCATTAACTGAGCGTCGAAACATTACGCACGAAGGCTGGTATCGACCACGATCGCTTTCCGAGATATTGTACTCTTTTAGATCGCCAGTATATGTGATCATATTTGTTTTCGCTAGCATTGATGGTGACAATTCGTGTAACGTCACTTTACTCTTCCAATTCTCAGATGGTAAGTTAATCTGAGCAGCCACGTTGGCTAGCTTAATAAGAGGTATATCCAGTATATTTCTAGCGACTTTCGGCGTCACTTCTTCGGGTATGATGACATACCATGTTTCAAAACAAGTAATTTTCTTAATTATTTTATCACCTTGACGAGAGATCACAACTTTTTCCGGTGAGATTTTACGTTGCACAATATTTTTAGCTGGTTGTCGATTCAGGGCTGCTTGTGAGTTTTCCTTCAACGACGGCGCAGTTTTCTTTTGTTGGTATGGTGTGCTGGCAGGAAGTTTATTTTTACCAACCTCAAATGATTCATCTGGATCATCGAAATCCTCATCTGGGTCCACAGTCTCATTTGCATCTTCCTCCTCATCATCATCGTCATCTTCCTCATCGCCATCAAGAGAAAGCGGATAAATTTCATCGTCTGCCGAATCCTCGAAATTTGCTATCATCGGCTTAACCGGTTGTGTTTTCTTCGCTACCATAGAGTTGAGTATACGTGGAGCTGGTCTATCTGATGTAGTATTTGAATGCGCTTTATTGCGTAGACCGGAAGTATTCACCGATGTTCTTTTAAGTAATGTATGATTGAGAATTTTCTGCGTTGGTTTTTTTGTTGTGGTCAACGGACTTTTCGAACGATTGGGATCGCTGGTTTTTTCGGCAAGCAAACCTTTACGACGTCCAGGACCAAGTTTATATTCATTTACTTTAGCTGGTTCCGGTGTCTCATGCTCTGCATTTATACCTTCTTCAGGTTTTTGTGGTTTACCAGCCTTTGATATTAGCACATCACCTTTTTTGTTAATTATGTCATTGATGTTGACAATGGTAAAAGTTGGCATAGTTTCGAAATCATCATTATTAGATGGAGGTGAATCCGTCAGTTTGTTTTCACCACTTTCTTCTGTTTTCTCTTCCTTAGGGGATTTTGTAATTTTTGGAGGAGCGGGAGAAGCACTGCGACGTTTTTCCACTGCCATTATTCTTGCATTTTGTGTCTTGTTAGTTGATGTTATTAAAGTACGTGTTGTTGATGGTGTTGACGCAGTACTATTATTGATATTACGCATATTCTGTAGATATTTACTTTGCTGCAATTTAATTGGTACATTATCACCATCAATAAGTGTACGTTTTTCTATAATTGTTGAATTGCGTTTGACTTGTTCATTTTCCAATGCATCACTTTTCATTTTCACAATTTTGTTCCCATTGAGTGTTTGATTGCCCTTCCTTACAATCATACCTAGGTCATTGGAACTTGGAGTTTTACTCTCTCGAACCATTAAAGATTTTGTTAACAATATGCGCTTTCGAGCAATACCAGCAGATTCATTATCATTATCACTGCTACTACCTGCAGTCATAGATTCATTGTGCTTACGCTTAATCCCAACCGAAGTTTCAATTGACCTATTTAAACTTGCTGCATATGTCTTTCGTAATAATTGAAGTTGTGATGAATGTGATTTAAATACAGGTGCAGGCGTAGGCCGAGGAGTTGCGGGAGTACTTGTAGGAGCTGGTTGTATATTTTTTCGTGGTCGCCCCCGCTTTTTTACAGGTGTTTCTACAACTTTAGGTTCGTCTGAGAAATCGGAATCACTTTCTTTTTCTATTTCTTTGTAGAGCTTATCTACTTCCTCATCATCGAAATCGTTGGCACCCAATTCGTCGCTGGAATCTTTATTGAAAAAATCATCCGAACTACTTGTGGACTTTTTCCTTTGTTTCTCTGGAACAATTGTTGGCCTTTTTACTGATGTTCCTGCAAGCGCTGACACATTTCTGATGATCTTTGGTGTAACCATATCCTCACTTGCATATTTCGGATTTGGTTTTATTGCTCTCCTTGAACGGCCCGCTGCAATTGTAGGTGGAGGAAGTTCGGGAACAACGGGTTTTGGTGTTGTGGTCTTATGACCTTTCAAAGGAGTTTTAAATTTATCTTTCATTTCTTTGGCTTTGCTTAAATTTTGTGTTAAACTTGGAGTAGAAACACTGGGTGAATTTGATGTGGTTTTTTCTTCTGCAATAGGTCGCTTCTTAAGTGGTCCCTTGAATTTTTTTTCGTCAGAGTGTTGTTGAGCGTTTCCACGAGGGGTCACACCACTACTTCTAGTTAATTTTAATGGAGGTGATGAAACTTTTTCCAACCGAACGACACAAGAACGCGTTTTCTTCGCCCCTACGACGTGAGCTTTTTTATCAACGCGCATCCTTATTTCACATGTAGTTTTCTGATGATCAAACAATGGAATATATTTTGATTGATTAATAAATTATAACTTTTTAATGAATGAAATAGATGTGCTACTATACGTCTACTGTTTATTAAAAAAAAAAAAATACAAAAATAAGTTATTATTAACATAGTCTGTGCAATTCATCCCCTAATGATGATAGGGCGATAGGGCCGTGTGGCAACTCTTTAAACCTTTCCCCCGATTGTCAAATATTGGCGCGAATCGAACAAAAACTAATATAAAGCTATACCCAATATATTTTTGGGAACTTAAATAAATTCTTTCCAAGTCTAAATTTGTTTTCGCTTTAACATACCTCGGGCCATCATTAAAATGCCACAGTTTATATTTTGCAATTCGCCCTACTGTACTTCGTGGCGTGTTTGAAAGAACATCTAATAGCACATCTCATCAAATATTTGCATTTATTACACGCTTACTTTTATTCTTAGCTGCCAATTGTCCAGATATATATATCAAATGCAAAAAAACAATTATGGTAACTATTCATTAATATAAAGCGAAGACCAAATTATTTATTACTGAGAACATAAAGTTCCAATAGGAGAAAATGTAGACTATTACTGCACACTCTAAATCAACGAACACAATACGCTACCTCCAAATGGTAGCGTAAGTTTCTGCGATTTCTCACTCAACTATATATCTCATTAATTTGTAGTTTATTTTTACAGAAACGTAAGTGCACGTCTCCAAATATTATATATTTCTTCTTAAATTGGTAGTATTAGTTAACCAACAACGCTATATGACATTTCGATGTAAAGAAACGCAGTCACAACGATATTTTCACAACACTAATTTCACTTTACGAACTTGGCGTGTGTGAATGGGACATAACGAGATAACATAGAGCTGTAAAAATGGCGCCTTTTTGACATTTACTTGCCCGAATTACGTAAGAGCAAAAGAGATCAACCGTTTTCGGTGAATAATAGTTGGAGAGTTGCATTTGTAGAAAATGGCGGCCATCTAATTTTAACGATGCAAATTCTAATCTGCAATATGGGTGGCAAATTGTTTAAAAGAATAGGCAAAACTTATTCTAAAAGAATCGAGCAGCTTTTTGATAAACAGAATTACGACGTATAGGTACATACGAGAGTACAAAGCCCATTATAAATCCTATTGATTTATTGTAATAGATTTTAGAGACTACGTATGTCAACTCAAAAGATGGGATAAAAACTCTACACTGTCATAAATGACAACATAAAAAGAGGGATAGAAAAACAATTGACTTAATTTTGGCGTATCATTCTATAAAGTTATCATTCTCACATCCGAAAGGAATCTTAAAAATGGCAAATTTGAGTGGAATTGAGACTTTGTATAAAGAGTTAAAAACCGAATGGTCCAAAAAACCTCAAAATCTAAAGAAATGTGGACAATTGTTGGATGTTTTAAAGGTATTTTATATCTCATATAACCTCACAATGCCTGTTACATTTTGCAAATTCACCTTTGTTTTTATGGATAATATAAGGTCGAGCTAACCAAATTAGCTTTCCTGCCCACTGGCGATACAAAAACAAGCAAAAATGAAATGATTTTAGCTCGTGATGTTCTCGAAATTGCCGTGGAATACAGCGTCGCAAATAAGGACATACCGGCATACGAAAGATACATGTCTCAGCTAAAATGCTATTATTATGATTACAAGTATGTATAAATCATAAGTAATCAAGGGTTTATTACAAAAAAGACTAATATACTGTACATTTTTAGGCAAAAAATTGGAGAGTCCGAAAATATGTACAAATTATTGGGAATAAATCTGCTTTACTTGCTGTCTGTAAATCGAGTTTCCGAATTTCACACAGAATTGGAGCTGTTATCGGCCGACACTATCCAAAATAACAAATATATTCGCCCTATATTGGCATTGGAGCAGTACATAATGGAAGGACGTTATAATAAAATTTTCCAAGCAAAGGTATTCAACCATAATAATAAATACTTATTTATGTAAATGTAACTCATAACTTTTTAAATGCAATTCATATTTTTCACTGTTTATAGAGTTCAGCACCTTCGGAAATATATAACCACTTCATGGATATTCTACTTAACACCGTACGTGATGAAATCGGGGCTTGTATAGAAAAATCTTATGAAAAGATATCTGCTAAAGAAGCAGCGAAACGCTTGAATCTCAATTCTATTGAGGAGGTCAAAATATTTGGCCAAAAACGGAATTGGAATTTGGGGCCTGATGGAGTTTACAATTTTGTGGAAAAAACTGCCAAGCCTAAAGAAGTATTACCATCAGTTGAGTTGGCAGAGCAAGCTATTTTTTATGCTCGCGAATTAGAAATGATTGTTTAATTGTAATTAATATTAAAATAGTTTGTACTAATCTGGGAGATAAATATAATAACTTCCTATAATTGTTGTATTATTTATTTTGATAATTAATATTAGTTATTTTTCTCACACTGTTCTATTCACATTTATTTTGCTGATTATTTTCTATGTGCGGAAGGTTGTGGTAGGCGATATTTGGCCATTTCAACCTCTGCTTCGGCGTAACTGAAGCGGTTGAATGAATAGTATTCCGGGACTTTATATTCACCAGTCGGAGAAGCACCGGGACCGAGTGGGCCGGAAGCTGGTTTGACGATGTTGCTGCTTAGTCCTGGGACATTGGTATTAACACCATCACTACCACCTGGTCCCTTCGGAGGTTTTACTCCAGCCATATCCTGTGCTGCCTGGTTATAGCCTCGACGTACAATAGTACTCAATGAACGTGATCGGTGGAACATATTTAATATTTGCTATTAATTTTTTGCAAATTAGAAAACAATCTCACTTTGCTCCTACGAATTACGTAATCACAGCTGATAAATGACAGAATAAACACAGTGATGCAAATAATATTCGATTTTTTATCGGTTATTTTAAATCGATGAAATGAATTTCTATATAAATATTATTATTTGACCTTATTATGATTTATTTATCCATTATCTTAGATAAAATTATAAATATATACATTAACGTAGCAAATTTATTTTCTTTTCTTTAGTTTTGGTTTTACAACTCCATAATTTTGGTCTATTGCTGTTACAGGTGCACGTTTCTTTTGTTGTTTTTCCAACTTGGTTTTACTTCGACACTTAACAGACGCCGCCCCGGTCTGATTTTTGCCTAACTGATGGAATTTCTTTCTTTGCTCACGTATATCCTTCAAACGTTTGCGTTCATCCAATAAGTCCTTGTAATTTTTGTATGGTTTCTTGGGTGCCTTCCCTCCCATCTTCATGATGTGGAACATTTCCATTTTCTTTTTGTTTTTGGGAATTCGTTGATTATTCATGGCAAAACGAAGAACTTCACTGCGTGCTCTCTTAATATCGAATTCTTCAGACTCATCTTTAGAGATATTTTTTTGCGAGTCACCTTTTTCTAACTTTCTGTTGTGTCCCTTTACATCTTTGCTTGATTTATCAGGATCTTCAAATACCATAGCCTGAAAATCATTGGGCTGTTTTTTTCGTTGTAGCGCTAATGCGGCTCGAGTTGGAATTGGCTTGAAATCCGAAACTATGTCCATTCTTCCAGATGTACTCCTTGTTTGTTTACCTTTGTATTGTGATTGTTGTTTTCTTCGCTCAGTACACGGTAAAACGTGTTGATCACATTTTGTAGTTGCCAGTTAATAAAAGACACATTGATACTGAATTAGTATTTAAAATCTGTAAATAGATCAAGATAAATAATTAAAAAAAGAGAGCCTTTAACCTAAATATTCATAATTAAGTGTTAAAAAAAATTTTAAGGTTAAAGAAGACGTCGTATTTTTAAGAAGTAAGCCCAAAACTAAAAACATTGGCATCACATTTTTATGAAATTGTTGTTCCACTATACATTGTCTATGATTATTACTTTATCTGTGATTATTACTTTTTTTCTCACTTTGTCTAATCAAACTCGATTTTGTTGTACAGATTATTACATTAAAGCTACTTTTTAATTAAATTCGCAAACTGAGATAAGTTTTATTACACAAATATAAAACTACTTTATTCGTTGACACTTACTAGCGTAAAATGGCCACGGCTGTAGGTTCAGCCGTAACACTTGCTAATCCCGGAACAATACGTAGCCAAATATCAAAGGAGTTGCGTGCAAAGGCTAACGATTTCCTTAATTCACGACGCAATGCTAACAATCTTTTGGATATCATTGCACATTTTCAGGTATATATATTTTCATGTACTCTTCGCCATAGTTAAACAATTTTGGGAATTTTTTATATTAATTTAAATACATTATTGTCCAGCATTGCGTAAAAGAAAAGCAATCTATTACTGCTGCTGTGTTAACCTTGGAAGTTGTGTTCGTAGAAGTTTTAAAGCGCCGAGAAATGTGTATAGCGGGTGTGCCTCTGAAACCGAAAGGTAATTTCGTGTATACACTAATCACTTATACATTTGTATGTATATATTTTACAAAGATATTTAATTCTTATTTTGTGCCTACAGACGAAAGTGCAGAGACCAAATACCGCGAATGGCTGCGACAACGGTACGAGGAAGCAATGTGTTTAATACTTAGCTCCTTTGAAAGTGAAAAACCCGCAGAAGCGGCACAAGCCTTGGTATCAAGCATGAAGTTATTAGCTGCAGAAGGCAAACATCCCTTAGATAAATGTGATGAACCTTGTAAATTTCCTAAGCAACGTCTACGTAGTATTTTACAGAAGTTAGTATCAGCAACAAAATCACAAAGCACTCTGCTTCAGCGTTTTAAAGAGTATTCCGAATATTTGGATGTGGTGTTCTACAGTTGGAAATTAATGCAGCAACTAGCTACACGGGCCGCCTTTGCTAATGACGTTTTTGCATGTAATTATTTGGAACTTATAAATGTTTTGCCTGTGACCAAAGACCTGCACGACCAACAAAAACTGTTGTGCATAACGCAATCCAGCGGAGAATCTTCACAACCTGAATGTTTTGACTACGCGCCAGTGAAAAAATGTATTAACAAAGTATGGATGTGCCTGATGCAATGGACCGACGGTATACAGGAGCCTGTGCATAGACAAATGCTTATCATATTGTTGGAGCGAGTTTTGCCACACTTGGAAAAACCTATATTGTTAACAGATTTTCTAATGGACTCACTTGATTGCGGTAAAAATATTTTTTATTCTCTGATAGTTACAAATATCATCACCTTTATATTTTAGGCGGTCCCGTTAGCTTACTCGCACTGCAAGGCATTTTCACGCTAATACAGAAGCATAATATTACGTATCCAAATATTTATGAAAAGCTGTATTCTATGTTTGAACCAGAAATTTTCCATACCAAATTTAAGGCACGTCTGTTTTATCTGGCGGACATTTTCTTAAGCTCAACACATTTGCCTGAAAATTTAGTAGCCGCATTTGTTAAACGTCTGGCACGATTAAGTCTAATCGCACCGCCACAAGATTCTATAATTATTTTACATTTTATTGGCAATTTGATATTACGTCATGCCGGTTTAAAACGGCTTATTTGCGCTCAGGCAGCAATTGAAGGTAAGCCAGATTTGTTTAAAAAGTTTTACTTTGTTTATATTTTATTTAAACTTTTAGTTTCGCGCGACCCCTTCATCATGGAGGAACGCGATCCAACAAAGTCAAATGCGTTAGATAGTTCATTATGGGAAGTGGTATCCTTGCAGAGGCATGCTATTCCAGCAGTGGCGAATGCGGCACGTTTTATATCACAACCCTTACCAACTACCGAGTGGGATTTGTCTTCTGTACTAGAATTGAAAGAAGACGACGTAAGTAAATTTTGAATGAATTTGAATAACATTATGATAACGTTTTAAATTGGTTTGTGTTTTTAGATTTTTGATCAGGAGATCGCTAAAAAGAGCAAACAGTATGCTTTAGCTTTTGAACGACCACAGTCTTTATATTTACCACATGATGACAAAGTGAAACAATACTGGAAACTATTCTAAATATTACATAATTAAGTATATGTATATATTTAGATGTGCTGCATTTTAAATTGCGGTTGTGGTAGCCTGTAGCGGAGCTGCCTTCTTTGATGAGGAGATAATTTTCTTTACATTGTGAACTTGTTGTAGGATTTGACATTAAATACACTAGAATTCGTCAGTATATTTAAATCAATTTAGTTGTGTTTATACATAATAATAATAAGTGTAATAAAATGGCTAAATATTGTTCAAAATAAAACTTGTACGTATAAGGTTCAGCGAGTTCGAGTGTTCAACAGAAGTCAAATTTCATAAAAATTTCCCTCCAGAACTCGAATTTTTTTGTGAATTGCGATGATTCGAATTAGTGAAGTTCAGCTGTACAATTGGTCGCAAAGGTTCATAAAAAGATTGAAAGCTTACCAAGCTCCAATTTTATCGAAGGCTTTTTTACATGTCAGTAATAGATTTTTTATGTATTCGGCCAGAAATTGATATTCGATAACAAGACATTAGATGTTTACAGCATATATAAATATCGATAATGTCTTCACCTTTACCATCTCTAGGTGAATCTCGGCAATTGCAAAATGTCAAAACAGTAAGTGGGAGTTATATCAAGAATTGTGCATCTAATTTCTTTAATTACTTGTAGATATGGTCTCATTATTCCTGGACAACAAAAGAAACAAGATGAGTCGACGAAAGCTGCTCGGCCAATATCTAAGCCATCTATATTTGATGAAAGCTCCTCGGACGATGAAAGCAGACCACAATTTAAATCGCGCACAAGTATATTACAAGGACCTAGTTTGATGGAGCGACGAATTGCACGCACAATGCAAGAGAAGGCCTTAAAGGAAGATCCCACGGTTTTTCAGTATGATGAACTTTATGACGAAATAGAAAATAAGCGAGAACAGGAACAAGAAATTAAAAGCAAAGAACCGAAGAAGCCCAAATATATTGGTCGCTTAATGGAGTTCGCTGAACGTCGTAAGTTGGAAAACGAACTGAGGGTGGAGAGGCAAGTTCAAAAAGAACGTGAACAGGAGGGTGAGGAGTTCAAAGGCAAAGAAAGTTTTGTAACCTCTACTTATCGAAAGAAGTTGGAAGAGATGAGAAAACTGCAGGAGCAAGAAAAACGCGATGAGTATCTAGAAGCAATAGGCGATGTGACAAAACAGAAAGATTTAGATGGATTTTATCGACATTTGTTTGAACAAAAAACAGGTTCAGCAAAAGAGGTTAAAAAACCGGATCTACTCGTTGTTACATCTGCATGTGATGAAGATGATATAGCATATAAACCAATAAAGTCTGGCAAAGTACCACCACAACGAACGTACCGTAAGCGTCGAGCTTCTGATGATATGGAAGAGGATGACAGAGAAAATGCAGAAAACGAGGGCAAAAAGGTGCATTTATCAAATAATATAGATGCAGATTCGGATTTTAGTATTGATTCATCATCTGATGATGAAGATACTTCTAAAGAAGCTGTAGGAGTTAAAATGGTTGAGAAGGCTAAAAGATTAGCGGCGAACAATAGTGCAACCAAAACTGCTATAAATTTGGATGCAATAAAGAAAGAAACACCTGACAAAAAGATCGTACAAAGCGATTCTAAAACTGAGAAACTTGCCACAATAGTATCAAGCGAAAGTGATTTGGTCGATGTAAAACCCAAAGTTAAAATAGATAAGAGTGCGATATGGAAGAAACGTACTGTTGGCGAAGTTTATGAGGCGGCCGTGCAACGTTATTATGAACGACGAGCCGCAAGGAGGGCATAAGCCGATTATGTGAAAAAAATAATAGTTACGATCTAATCAATTATTAAAAATTTATAAGTTAACTATAATAAATATATTAAGCTCCGAATGCATTAAAATAAGAATGTATTTTTACATACAGATACATACACTCGCTATGTTTCATTGCTATAAAGACAGCCATTTCACTACGAAAAACAGAAAGAATTGCTGTGTCATCGAGTTGGTGTAATGAGAAAACATTTTTGGGGTTAATAACGAAATTGTATTACATTGACGATAATCCTCGTAATCCTTTCTAATCAGTCATTTGCAGATGTTCTCAATAGGACTTACATCAGGGGAACCAGCTGGTTATTAAAAAAGCTCAATATTTACGTTACGTTGAAGCCAGATTTTCGTTGATATGCTCGTATAGATTCTTGCGGATAACTGTGTATATAAGCTTTGCTTTGTAGAGTTTGATTTATGCTCCTCGAGAGAGGATTTTACTTTTCAATTGCCTACTCAGCCCAAAGTAGCACCTGTTAGCAAGAGTGATTTTGCGATGGCTGTTTGTTTGATCACTGGAGATATTTCGTCTAAAGCTAATGGCACGCCAGCAGCTGTACGCTCTTTTAGAATCAGGTACCTTCTCTATTTAGCTCTGCAGCTCGTATTAATTTTCCGTGCAATAGATTGAAGAAGTCATACCACAGGGAGTATCCTTTTCTGAAATCTCCCTTGGTATCGAACGGCTCGGAGAGGTTCTTCCCGATCCTGACGAAGCTTTCGGTGTTGGTTAACTTCAGCTTACGCAGCCGTTTTAGTTTTGCGGTGATACCAAGGTAGAACGAGGAGCTGTACGAGTTATGCGATGACATGACCTAGGCTAAACTTGGAATCTCGAATTGGCGCCAATAGCGAACGATTGAAGAAGAAGTGGGTACGATTTCGGTTTGTACTTTAATTTTATTGTCAGAGTATTTCTTTATGATAATATAAAACATAATAAATATATAATATGTATATAATATAACAATTGCGTGTTCAACATAAATTCCCTCACTTTGTGCTAACTTAATTAATGTTCTGGAAATGGAGATGGAAATGGAGTATCTTAATAGAGGTCTGAACTGTTTCATGATAAATAAGGACATTTGAGTTGTTACCTTCAAGATATTGCTTGGAGTCAGTTAGTAACTGACGTCAACTCTCCGCCTTTTCACAGAATGCAGGAACATAAATTTCCTTTTTCGTTCGTAGTTCGTCGTTGTATACGGTTGATTTTTTCATACCGAGCGCACATATACATACATACTCGCTGCATAACTTCTCGTTACTTGGTGTAGGCGCAATTTAACCTAGCTTTGACATTTTGAGCTTCAATTCGTTACACTTTCCACGTGTTTTTTATACTTTTCATTATAAAGTTAAATCCACAATTGAATCGGGTAAGAACATAAATTCTTTCGCAATGACCCCGTGGGGCCAACAGGCTGGGGGATAAGAAAAGCTATAAAATTCAACGCTGGAATTCTTCCTGGAATTACCTATTTCTAAGAAGGATGATCCCAAGTACCTCGCAATCAAATCACAGGGCGCCAGAAAACCTATTGCATCCACTTCTTGCTTTGCAGTACATAAAGGTATTCAGGCCATAAGCAAAGACATTAACAAAATTACATGGCTTCGTGACGGCAGCCCACTTCTTTTGGTCAAGAACCAAAAAATCGCTGACAAAATTTTTACAAACCAAACATCTTCCCGGAGCTGGTGCTGTTGATATATCTCTTCACAACTCTCTGAACTTAGTAAAGGGTACAATTTACGCTCCATTTATCTGTCAGCTTGCTGATGGCGAAATAATTGATGGTCTAAAAGATCAAGGAGTATCCGATGTTCATAAATTTACCAAGATAAACAATGGTGATCGTGTACCTACTGGTGCTTTATTATTAACTTTTGATAAATATACTTTACCTAGTCGTATTGAAGTTGCCTGTTGTACCCTCGATATCCGTCCCTACTATCCTAATCCCATGCGCTGCAAGAATTGTCAGTTGCTGGGTCATACTGCTAAGCGATGTAATAAGATCCCATCTTGTGCTATCTGCAACCTATCCCCAAATCATACCCCTCCCACTGAATGCTCTAGAGTCAAATGTGCTAACTGCGATGGTGAACACCCTTCTTCCTTTAACGCCTGTCCAAAATATGTCCAGTCTAAGGAGATACTTAAAATTAAAACTATCCACAAGTGTTCGATGCGTGAAGCTAATTCTCTTATGCTAATGTAACAGCTTCCAACAACAATACTTACTCAAAAAAATACTTCAACATCGAAAAAACTTCAAACACTAATGATTCTAATGACAACATTAAAGCTACAACTTCAAAAAATAATGCTTCATCCCCTACCAACATACACTCAATCCATTGCCCCGAAACCCCTTCTCCCTCCGTTTCTTCTCTATACAATTCTCCCTCTTCATCCTTCTCACCCCTTTCCACAACTACTTCTCCTAGCACTATAACCCGTTCCACAACTTCAGCTGTACCCTCCTGCCATCCACAATCACATACCCAGGTATCCATAGATACATAATTCTAGATATTAAATTCCAATTAAAACTTACATTTTTCATACATATGTACTTTAATTTTCTTTATTTTTCGATGTTAACTTTTCTTCAATGGAATATTAACGGATACATTAATAACTACTTTGAACTTGAAATTTTAATTAAAAAATACAATCCCTCTGTAATATTATTAAACGAAACACATATTGCAAACAATATATCAGCTCATACTCCAAAAGCCTATGCTGGTCACTTTTATAACCTTCCTTCCGTCACATCAAGCAAGCAAGGTATTGCAATCCTGATTAAGAGAAGTATACCGCATAATATTCTCCCAATATCTCCTTCGAATATCTCTTCCGTTGCCATCGAAATTTCCTCCCAGCAAAAAATCATAATCATCTGTGCATATTCCCCTCCTCACCAAACTTTTACTTCAGCAGACTTCTTTAACCTTTTCCCTTCTGGATCGACTCCTTTTTCACTGGCTGGTGACTTCAATGCCTGGTGCCCTCTTTGGGGTTCTTTTTCAACTAACTCCAGGGGCCGCATTATTGAGGATGCTGTCCTCTGATCGGACTGTGTTGTCCTTAATGACGGTTCGCCTACCCATTTCTCCACTCATTCCACATTCACCCGTATAGATCTTACAATTTGTTCCATCTCACTCTCTCCCAAAGTTGTTTGGCATTGTATAGATAATTTGCATGGTAGCGATCATTTTCCTATCATAGCCAAAATCTCCTCCCATAATTCCAATTTCTTCAAACCCAGGCTATTTTTAATCACTGATTCAGCTGATTGGCCCAAATTTCAAGATTTTTGTTTACGTTACTCAGACTTCTACAGATATT